AGAACGCCTGTGCGACTGCCTCCATCTCCTCCTTCTCACGTCCTTCATCGAACTGTCCTTGGTGAAAGTCATCTAACATGTCTGCTACCCCGACATCAGCATCAAAAGCCTCCACCCATGGTCTCACCACCTCCTCTCTCATACGATGGGCTTCACCATGGTGGACCCACCGGGTGTAGTCCGGTGTAAATCCATTCTTCACAAGATGTTTACCCATTTCCACCTTGTTTACCCTTCTCCTGTTTCCACATTTGCTACAGGGACACAAAACTAGGCAATGTTCTTTAGCAGCGTTGCCAAATGCACTGTTCAAGAAAGCATCGGTCTTGTTCATCCATTCCGTGGTGTAATCACTCTGACTTCTCCAGCCCGTGTACATCCACTAACGGTCATCCATCCTCTAACATATGTATCAGCAAGTAATGTAACCATCAATTGCATCTACATGGTGTTCCTACTGTCTAATAGGTGAGGATAGGTCATAATCCCACGCGTAGATGCGTTGATGAGGTTAGTTTCCATGCTCTACTCCTATCCGAAATAGAATTTCGGCAGCACCTCCCTGCTGTTCTCCATATACACGTCCTGCCAAAGAAGAGTGTGTATCCGGAGAACAACAGGGAGGTGATGCCGAAACTCTTTCTCAGACCAGAGCAGAACATGGGAACTAACCCATCTACGCATCCGCGGGCTATCCAAAAAGCGTGGACAATCCGAAATAGATACGGTCATAGATATGCAAAGATCTACATACCTCCAACCGTATCTCTTTCGAACAGGAGATGCCTAACTGGGTTACGCGATCTACGACAATGATACGAAAAGAGGGGTTATACCTAGGGTGGCGGCAGAGTCAGGCTAGCGGGGCCGTGGCGGGTCGGTGCAGTGGCGAGACGACGCAGAGCAGGTAGACCGGCACGGTGGCGAGAACTCCGACTCAACTCCGACGGGCTCTTCTCTACAAAAATGCAACAAAATACTGTCATTTACAAAAAAAAAAATCGACAGAACCTCCCCTGCACGGTGAGGTTTCCAAAACCTACAAAAAATAACGACACGATGGCCGACAAGCACATATGGCTCAACAGAAGCCATGTAGTTTGGATATCAATCCATGTAGAAGAATATATCCAAGTAGTACCACTACTTGTACTACTACTTTCACTATTCCTACTACTACTACCATTGGTTCTACTACTACTACCACTATTGCTACAACTACTACCATTAGTTGTACTACTACTACTACCACTACTTCTACTACTACTACCACTAATTCTACTACTAATACTACCACTAGTTGTACTACTACTACCACTAGTACAACTAAAACTACAACTACCACTACCTCGACAATAATAAGTGAGAAGGCATACCTGACGGGCGACGGGGTAGGGGCGGGCGGCGTCGGGATTGGGCGGAGTCGAGGACGGGGTCGAGCACGGACGGCGTCGGGGCGGGCGGTCCACGGGGCACGGCCGGGGGCAGGGCGGCGGTCGGGAAGGGCCGGCAGGGGCACCTGCGCTGGCAGGCGGCAGGCACGCGTGAGCAATGGGCGATCGGGCGACGGGCGCGGTGGCGCTGGTGGGGGAAGGGCTGGCGGGGCACGCGACAATGGGGCAAGGCCTTGTGTGGGCACATGGCGTGTGTGGCGAAGCGGCGGGCCGGGCCAGGGGGGCGGCCGAGGGCATGACGCTGGCGGCGCGATGGCTGGGCGCTACGTGGCGTGGTGGCCAGTGGCGTCTTGAAGGCGGGCGGTGTGGTGGCGCTGCACGCGACGCCGGAGGCGGGCGGGGCGGCAGGCGTGGGCGCTGGGCTGGGCTGCTCTCGACCGCCTGCCGCCAAAATGACTAAGTCCTCCGCCCAGCAGGCTTTGCCCAAAGATCTTGGGATCGGGGAGGCATTTTCGGCAAAGATTTGATTTTTTTAAAAAAAAAATCTTTGCCGAGTGCCCCAGATCTGGCACTCGGCAAAGATTTATTTTTTTTTAAATTCTTTGCCGAGCGTCTCAGATCTGGCGCTCGGCAAAGAAATTGTTTTTTTAAAATACTTTGTCGAGTGCCCCTAGGACGGCACTCGGCAAAGATTTAATTTTTTATTATTATTTCTTTGCCGAGTGCTCCTGTGCATACACTCGGCAAAGAGGAATTTTTTTTAAAAAAATTAAAACACTCTTTGCCGAGTGTCTTACGGTTGGCACTCGGCAAAGACACCCTTTGTCGAGTGTCATGCCCCGGCACTGGGCAAAGTTTTTTTTGTTTTTTTGTTTTTGGCCTCTAATTTTTTGTGCAGCCCTTTTAAAGCACCAGAAACTTCTAGTTACAAATTGTGGATTTTTTGTGGCTTTTTGATATATTTAGTTACTTTATTTCGTTTACTTGAATTTTTTCGGAAATTAGAAATTTGAACTGCACGTGGTACGAATAATGGAGTTTAATTATTCGAAAATTGATAGTCATGTTAGTGAGTGTTGTGAGAGGCCGTATCTAGGAACGGACCCAAAATTTCGGACATCTTGTTCACGAAACATGTCTGTGAAATTGCGTGTGAAGTGTTTCTAAATTGTATAAAAAAGAAACGAAGTCCGAAAATCATGAAACTTGTTGAGATGTCGAGATATCATATGTGGAGGCTATGATAAAAATTTCAGAAGATTTCGTGCACGTTGTCACGTACGATGCTTACAAATCCCATGTAGAGATGTCCTGATTTGTAACTAAATATATCAAAAGGCCACAAAAAATCCCCAAATTGTAAGTAGGAGTTCCTGGTGCTTTAAAAGGGCTGCACAAAAAAATTGGAAGCCAAAAACAAAAAAATAAAAAAACTTTGCCGAGTGCCGGGGTATGGCACTCAGCAAAGGGTGTCTTTGCCGAGTGCTAGCCGTAAGACACTCGGCAAAGAGTGTTTTAATTTTTTTTTAAAAAAATCCTCTTTGCCGAGTGCATGCACAGGAGCACTCGGCAAAGAAATAATAAAAATAAATAAATCTTTGCCGAGTGCCGTCCCAGGGGCACTCGGCAAAGTTTTTTTTTAAAAAAAAAATTCTTTGCCGAGCGCTAGATCTGAGACGCTCGGCAAAAAAAAATTTTAAAAAAAATAAATCTTTGCCGAGTGCCAGATCTGGGGCACTCGGCAAAGAATTTTTTTTAAAAAAAAATCAAATCTTTGCCGAGTGCCTAACAGCAAGCGCTCGGCAAAAAAGGCCGTGACCGAACGCCGTTTCGCGGGAAGCCTATGCCAAGTGTAGAGATTTTACCGAGAGTCTGGCACTCGGCAAAAAAGTCCTTTGCCGAGTGCCCGTGTTTGCCGAGGGCCCGGCACTCGGCAAAGAAATATTTGCCGAGTACAATTCTTTGCCGAGTGCAGCACTCGGCAAAGAAGGTCTTTGTCGAGTGCCCGATTTTTGACACTAGGCAAAGAATTTTGCACTCGGCAAAATCTCTGTTTCCAGTAGTGAACCTCCTGGCTCCTGCCATGGTAGCCACGTGTTGCACGGGCAAGGCCACTGGCAAGCTAGGGACTTTGGAAGTGTGCATCTTTAAGCGAGGATAAAAGTCAGATGTGCGTCAACCCACGGCGTGGGATGGTTCGGTTTGTAGGCAATGAACAACTTGTCAGCGCCCTTTAGGAGCGCAAAAGTTTCTACGTGACCCATCGTGCTAGAGCGCGATGACGCGACCCCGCGCCTTCCTCTCCCTCTCCCTCTCCCACGCGCTCGACCACACCCATGCCCCGCGCCTGTGCCGGAGAGGAAGAAGAAGCCGGCGGTGGTTATGTTTCCGACGACGACGAGGTTAGGGTTTCTATCTCTGACGACCTTAGAAGGGAGTTCGTTGGGAGGCGGTCGCAATACGGCAGTGGTGCATGGGTTGAAGGGCGGCGAGCGAGGTAGTGGGGGGACAACCGGTTGGGTGGAACCAGCGACGGGGGCGGAGCTCGCCGGCGAGATGCTGTCGTTAGCATGGATGGATTCGAGGGACGGGTGCAGGTTGTGGGTGGCGTGGCGCGGCGGCTCGTCGCTGGCTGCCGATGGTGGAGGCGGGGGTGGGGTGGGGCGGGGATGAGGACGACCCCGACGAGCTTGTCCTGTATTTAGGGTGGGCGGGGTCGTTGGGTGGTGGTGGGTTGTGGCACGCACTAGCAGTAGTTATATAGGCTAATAATCAATGTTCAATGCTTTTTTCTTCCAATTTTCATACTCATTTGCAGAGTTATTTGCTATATGACATATACGGTATACTAGATGTGACTATATAAATGATAATCTGTACTTAATAGAGTCTACTTGATATTTTTGTTGGATTTTTACAGTATTAATTAGCAGCAAATTTGTGATTAGTGATTATTTGCTCTAGCATCTGTGTACAAAATTGATCTTCATAAGGCAAAATTGGCCCCTCAAGTTGCACCTAGCTCCGCCACTGGGTTGCGGATGGCGTGGCCGGCGGCGAGAAAGCCGCGGCCGAGGGTGGCAGGGGAGGAGGGGTGGGGAGGGCACGAGGACACTAGTCGGGGGAGGAAGAAGGCCCGGAGGCGGGTCGTGCGCGCGACGGGTCATGGCTTAAGGCCTCCCCCTTCAGGAATGACGAATGAGGATGAACCGCGCTTCACGGAAGGATCTGGGTGCCGAACGGAGTGATGGATGATTCATACTTGCAGTTGGACACGAGTCGGATACATATCCTACTATCCGCGTCAGGTAGCACGGAAGGATCAGGACCTCTGGACACCGGCTCCACCCGAATTTTTCCCGCGGAAACGAACACCGACTGACGAACCCGGTGCGCCCGGTGTCGGAGTCGGACGATTAGTTAGATTCGGCACCCGGCTTTTGGATCTCGCAGCCTATATAAATCGATGCCAAACCATTACTCAGATCCTCACCGATCGCTCCCTCATCCATCACAGAATCAACCGCCGACGCAAGAAGAAACGAAGAGCTCCCAGACGGCAAGGGGGAGGAGATAGCTAGGCGGCTGCGGGCGGGCGGACGACCGATGGCGCGTCGGGGCACGGAGGCGTTCCCGGACCTGGGCGCGCACTGCGACGAGGCGGGGTGCAACCAGCTCGACTTCCTCCCCTTCGAGTGCGACGGCTGCGGCGGGTTCTTCTGCGCGGCGCATCGCGTGTACCGGGACCACGGCTGCGCCAAGGCCCCTGACCAGGGCCGCACCGTCGTGGTGTGCCCGGACTGCGGCGACGCCATCGAGCGGACGGCGGTGCCGGGGCGGCAGTGCGACCGGGAGATCCTGGACGCGCACGCGCGGTCGCGCCGCTGCGACCCGGCGAGGAAGCGCAAGCCGCAGTGCCCCGTGCGGCGATGCAAGGAGGCGCTCACGTTCAGCAACACCAGCCAATGCAAGGGATGCGGCCTCAAGGTGTGCCTGAAGCACCGGTTCCCCGCGGATCACAACTGCGCGGCGGCGGCGGCCGCGGGAGCCAAGAGGGCCGGTAGTACTGCGGGGTGTGGCCGTGTGGCCGCGACGTGCAGAAGCAGCAGCAAGGTGGTTGCCGGCCGGCGCTGGCGGTGTCCGCCATGAGCTTCAAGATCTGTTGAGGCTTGGAGGGAGGTAACTACGGCGTGTTGGCAAGCCAGGATCAACGGCAGCAACGGACGTAATCTGAAACAAGAAGAAGTTGCTCGTTCCAGACGGGGGAAGCATGGCAGTGGAAGAAAGAGCACGTCGTCAGAGAAGGAACGCCTTGATTCAAGCGATGATTTCATATGTTGTTGTTTCACGTAATTGCCTACCCAAATTTGGTTGGGACTAAAATTCTTTTTATAATGCAAAGTGGATTGCAATATTTCAGAAATATTTTCGTGCCGTATGTTCAGATGGTTCTTTGTGGTTATTTTTTCCTTGTGTATAAAAGGCATAGACAGATTTTGCGGATTGGCGTCGAGAATTTTTTCATGGCGAAGGTTCACTTCTGCGAAAAGAAGAGAGTAAACTCGCTGGATCGTACAGGTCAACTAGCAATGAAATCCGCAAAGTAGCCGCTTGCACTGTTCAGGGCCTACACGGCTACACTCCCTGTCTTCCGATCGACTCCTGACTCAGGCCTTGCGGAGCTGGTGCAATGCCTTCATGGCGGAGATGGCCGCGGCGGCGTCGAGGCTCTTGGGGCACGTCGCCGTGCAGCTCTTGATCATCCTGCACCTGTACATCTTGTCCCACCCTTCCGCCAGCGACTGTATCCGCTCCTGGCCGTAGTCGTCCCGGCTGTCGGAGACCCAGCGGTAGGCGTGCAGCAGCGCGGCGGGGCCCAGGAACGCCCCCGAGTTCCACCAGTAGGACGGGCACGCCGTGCTGCAGCACGCGCACAGGATGCACTCGTACAGCCCCGTCCAGCTTCTTCCGCTGCGCTGGCGACTGCGGGTGCTCGCGCGTCGCCCCCTCGGGCGTCCGCGGCGGCGGCCTCTTGGTCTTGAGCCACGGCTCGACGGACTTGTACTGCTGGTAGAAGTTGGTGAGGGCCACGACGAGGTCCTTGACCACGTACATGTGCGGCAGCGGCGTGATCATTCTCGGCCGCGACGTGTCCGCGTCCACGGGCTTGAGGCACGCCACCGTGTTCACGCCGTCGATGCTCATGGAGCACGACCCGCGGATGCCCTCCCGGCACGACCGCCGGAACGCCAGCGTCGAGTCGTGCTCCGCCTTGATCTTCTGCAGCACGTCCAGCACCATGGCCCCGCAGGTGGCCAGGTCCACCAAGTAGGACTGCAGGAAGGGGCGCCTCGGCGAGTCGGGGTTCCACCGGTACACCTGGAACTCCTTCACCGTGGAACATCCAGTTGTTGCGCGTACGCACTCCTGCCTCTCCTAGCCTGGCGGTGTGTGCAGCCTACAGATGCGCAAGATCGACTAGTAGGAGTACTCGGAGTACACAGGATCGGAGGATCCCGTTCCCAACTTCCCATATGCACGACAGCACGAGGTCTCTCGTGCGCACGAGCATGGGCGGCGGGCGCGCACGTTTCCGCGACCGAAAAATCGGTCATCGCGTAGCGTGCGCCGCATGCATGATACTATAGGCTGCTCCAGCTGCGGCCAAGCCAACGACAGGACGGGCGCGAGGCTTTGGGGCTGCTCAACCGCGGAATCTCTCGATCCCAATGCAAGGGTGTAGTGTAGAGGCACGCGGTAGCAGTGACCGTAAATACTAATAAACACCCAAAATTTTCATTATCGCTACGCTAACAGTTAAACTTTATTTTTTTTAAGTGTATAAGAGGTAAAGAGTAAAAATCTGAAATAAAAAAAGTATAATATTCTATCTAAATCTTTTTAGCATATTCTTCTCTAGTGATTTTAGTCAAAGCAACTGATGCTCAAGATAAATGGAGTCTCACACAACACTAAACACAAGAGTATAGTTCTTATACCAAATCCGCTGACCACCCCAAAAATCTTAGACATGGCACACAATTCAACGTTTTAGGATCATACCAAAGAGTATATGAATCGATGAAAGAATATCGGCGTTGAATTGTTAGGTACAACACATGCTACAGATTTATCACCTCCAACGGTTAATGAATCATGTCGGAAGCCTAATTTTCTCTCCACGGCCATCGGCTGTGAGGTTGACAACCAGAGTTAATATACCACCATGAGGAGTGTCTATGAGCACCCTTACCCTTGTAAATAGTAACCACAAATTGACCTACTAATCAAATTAATTCCTGCAATGGTAATCTCAATGTGGCCATCATCAAAGTCATTGCATGTAACAAGCTCCCCGACGAACATTGGTGATGGTTTCGACGATAAATTTGTTTAGGATAAACTTAAAAAATGCTTTAAAATAAATAAAGGATGGATCCTTTTTTTCTTGCCACTGGTAGCCTCACCGGAGAGAAAAAAGGGCAAAGGCCCTTAGATGGCAGTTGCGAGGTGCCCGGCGATGGAGCATAGAGCACTAAAGGGCTGTGGCTGTCTATGCTAATAACTATGGGTTCAGTTCTGCTAAACTTGCCAGCTGTGGCTACGGCGTCGGTTAAAGTGACCTTAGTAAAATACTATACCAACAGCGTAACAACCTTCACCTTTAGTAGAAGTGAACGATCCCTAAATTGATTAGCATTCCTCGTAAGAAAACAAAAATGTTTTTTTATAACATGGTATTTTTCTTTAAATAAATGATTTATAATGTTGAAACCCCGGGGCTTGGATGGTACAGGATATATGTTTACTAATATAGAGGGAGGTCAAGAAGGATAGTACTACCTCTGTCCACAAAAGAATGCAATTCTCGCTTTTCGAGAAGTCAAACAATGTGAACTTTGATTAAATTTATCTAAAAGTACTAATATTCATGATATAAAATAAGTACCATTAAATTAGTTTATAAAATATATTTTTATTATAAATTTATTTGAAGACAAATATTAATACTATTTACTATAAACTTGGTCAAATTTGAGTGAGCTTGACTGACACGGATCACATAATTACGTTCTTTTGTAGACGGAGGGAGTATATGGTAATGAGAGAAAAAAAACATATCTTGGTCAGTACCAACGGTTACTCATCATGTTTCTTTTTTTTTAAAAATAGTGACTCATCTTGAGAGAGTATAGTATGCACATACGTCCACCATAGACAAGAAGCATTGAGATTTTGATGGCATACAAAGCTCGCTTGCAGCTAGTGATCTTTCCTCCACGGTAGAAAAGAAACAGCCGGAATCTCATCGAAGGGAGACTCCAGAAGTAGGGGACGAACCTCCATACGCTAATCCTGTCAAGGCGTTAGGATCCCGGCTTGAACTTTTTGTCGAGCTAATGTTTGCCTAGCAGCACATATACAGTGTACGTTGTGTTCGCATCATTGGTGGCAATGGTGGGCAAACTGGCGGTGGCGCAGACCAGACGGAACAAGCCTGTGGATCGCTGCCAGCGGGCCCGTCGTCAGCTGCCGCGCACGCAGCCTTTTTTTCTCCTCTCCTTACGGCGACTAATTATGGGCTTGGCGCGGAGCGACGCTGTTCACCAAACCTGGAGCCCTGGACACCACGCACGCCCTCGCACTCCCGGGTCCCCGGCCGCGGCCAGCCAGGTCGCACTCGCGCACAGCAACAAACCAGACCAAACCAACGATAGCTTCCTCCGGCCCGGCCCACCCCACCCCCAGCCGTCAGTCAGTCGCCGTCCCTTCTGAGCCTTTTACCCGTGTGCCATTATAAAAGAGGGCCACGGCCTACGTGTCACTAAAAAATTCGAACACACCTATGTGTTATGACACTTTACTTTTTTTTTCTCTCAAACCATTCCGTTCACCTTCTCTTTGATTTTTGCCGTTTGCCAGCCCTGACACGTGGGCACAGTCAGTGAAAACGTTAAAAATACCCTTCTCTTAAGACGTCAACTGCTCTCTATATTTTTTCCCCATCAGCATCTTCTTCCGACCGCGCCCCTTCCCACAGCGGCGGTCGTGCTCCCTCAAGCCCGCGCCCCCTTCTGCCTCTCCCTCCCGACTCCCTCCCTCCCTACAGCCGGCGCCCTTCTCCCTCTCACTCCCGAGCCCTTCCCGCTCACTCTCGAGCCCTTCTCGAATCCGATGGCCCTCGGCGACAGCGCCACCGCCACCCCGCCGGTGGGCAAGCTCTCCATCTCCGACGCGGCCTGGCGGGCGGCTGCTGCCCAGCTTAACGCCACCATGGCAGAGATCTGCGACGACCTCCTCTTCTCACCAGATCACAGACTCGCCAGGCGCGGCCGCGGCCGCCCTCTCCAACTACGACGACGACGCCAGGGCGGTGGCCCCGCCCCTCCCCACGCTCTCCATCTCCGTCTCATGCCGCTCCCTCTCCCCACCCTCCTCCCTCGGTCGACTCATTCCCCCCCTCTCCCCGCCCCCCCATCGACTTCTTCTCCTCTCACACCGCACCAGCCCCGCCCCTCCATGCGGGAGGCAGCGCTTGCTCCTCTCTCCAAAACCCTAGCCTTGGCCCACCCACTCCTCCTCATCCTCGTCTCCCCTCGGTCTCCCCAACCACTCCACCCACTCCTACGACTACCGCCTTCCTCCTCCTCCCTACCGCTTTTGTCCCAGCCTCGCTTGCCGTCGCCAACGTCGGGCTCGGATTCGGACCAAGACCACGCCTTCACCGTCCAGGTCGCCCATGCCACAGTTGCCGCCGGCTCCCAAGCGCAAGCACGCGCACACCATCGGGGGAGCGAAAAGCGGTGGATGAAATGGTGGATAGATTTAGGGTTAGGAGGCTACAGGGGGTCCTCAGCTCTGCTCGCGGGGCTCCCTGGCCCTAGCGCGCGGTGAAGGACGGGACGAAGACGACCGGCGGAGGAAACGAAGAAGGGCACGGTCAAGAAGCAACATGAGGGTATTTTGGACTTTTTTCAACGCAGATTGACACCGTTACATGAAAAAATGGACTTAACTGCGTGAGAGGAAAAAAGTAAAATAAAGCGTCATAACATATAGTTAAGTTCGAACTTTTTATGAGCACGCGACCATCGCGGGAACGTGCTCCGAAGCAGCCGCCGTCTCCTCCCCTTCTTCCCTCGACGCCTCCTGTCTCTTCCCCATCATCGATCTCCCCTTTTTATACCGCATCGCCGGTCCGACGCAAAGCTTCTCCTCTTTCCGCGTCTGCCACTCGTCCCTCCTGGATCAGTGAGTCCCGGAGTGGAAGATCCGGCCTTTTCAGCTGCTTCTGCTTGTGGTGGTGGTTGGTTGTTTCTGGGGAGTTGCACCACCGGGAAGCGGGGCAGGAGAGCAGGGGAAGAAGGGGAAGGGTTGGTGGGTTTGCGGTGGCGGTGGCGTCGTGATGGACTCCGGCAACAGCGGGAGCCTCCAGTCGTCTAGCGGCGGCGAAGACGAGTTCGACTCGCGGGCCGGCGGCGGTGGAGGGGGCGTCGACTCCTCCCCGCTCTCCGCACTGCTCCGACCGTCGCCGTCCCCCTCGGCCGCCGCGTTCTCGCTCCACGGCTCCTACTTCGGCCTCCAAGAGTTCACGTCCGCGCCGCCTCCGCAGCAGCAGCAGGCGGGTACCTGGTCATCGGGGTCGTTCCCCGGCGCCTCGGGGCTGTCCTCCTCCTCGTCCCCGCGCGTCGCACAACCCGACTCGGGCGCGGGCGGGCGCCAGCAGCAGGCTGCTGACACGACCGTGGCGGCGGCGATGGGCGGCGCGCCCGGGCCGGCGGCGCAGCCACCGAGGGGCTCGCGGAAGCGGACGCGCGCGTCGCGGCGGGCGCCCACGACGGTGCTCACTACCGACACCTCCAACTTCCGCGCCATGGTGCAGGAGTTCACGGGCATCCCGTCCCCGCCCTTCGCCGCGGGCGTCGGGGTCGGGGGCCCCGCCGCGTCGCTCCGCACCCGCTTCGACCACATCTTCCCCCCGCCGTCCTCCTCCCTTCGCTCCGCCGCCGCGGACGCCACGGCGTCGCTGCCGCCGTACCTCCTGCGCCCCTTCCCACACAAGCTCCCGACGACCTTGCCCTCCTCCAGTTTCCCGCCCTTCACGACGACGTCGTTGTCGTCGTCATCGTCCACGCCGTCCTCATCCAACATCGGCGTCGCCAATGCCAATGCCGCGACGGGCACGGCCGCCCCCGCAGCAGCACCCTCCAACCCTGCCGTCGCGCCGACAGCGGCAGCCGGAGCGGCGGGCGACGCCTTCCAGCAGCTGACGCCCTCGGCGCTTCTCCGGCTGCAGCAGGACCCCGGTAGCTACCTCTCCTTCCAGAACCTCCTCGACTCGCAGCCGTCGTCGCAGTCCATTTTCGGCGCGGCGGTGGGCGGGTTTGGGCAGGCGTCGTCGAGGCTGCACGATCCGGCGCCGTCGCCATCGGATTTCCTGGCCAGCGTCGGCGGCAGCGGCAGCCTCGGCCTCATCCACGGCATACTCTTGGCGGGCTCCGAGGGCCTGGACTTGCACCACTCAAGGAGCGACGACGTCCACGGCCACGGCCACGGCGGCGACGAGCTGTCGGGCGTGGTCGCGGCCGGCGCTTCGGGCGGCAGCTGCAAGCTGAACTACTCCCACGCCGGCGGCGCGGCCACCTCGTCATCGGGCGCGGCCAGCGCCGACAAGCCACCGGACGGCGGCGCTGGTGCTACTGCCGGAAGGCCGGGACGAGGCGAGGGCCTGGATCCGTGGATTTGTACATCGGAGTAGGGATGCATGCTGCGCCTCGTTGGCTTCGGAGACGAACCAAGCCAAATCCGCCATGCATGAGCATGACAAACAAAGGTCTGATTAGCCTTTATACCTTTTGTTACTTATTAATCACTTATCTGCAGAGGCAGTAATCGTAGCCCCCCTTTGTACATTAAAAACCTCATCATCTTGCTTCTGCTTGATCTCACTTACTAGATTCTTGAGTTAATCACACACGATTTAGACGTGCAAATGAAATAATGCCAGCCTCATAGATACTGTCGTACCCAGAGAGAGAGAAAGAGAAAGGCACGGTGCAAGCAATGCAACCGTGCAATTTCAATGCCAAAGCAAAGCAAGTTGGAGTAAGCTACTGCTTGTTCTCTAGGAGTAGCTAGCTAGTGCTCTCCAGCGTCATGTGTTGTCTCCGGCACTGTGCACGAGTCGAAGCTGCAGCGTTTGGTCCCAAAACCTGAGCGCATGCAAACAAGTAGTAATCCCCACCTGCGGCGGGCCGGCAGCGATTGGCGGCGAGATTTCCGGCGCCAAGTTTGTTTCTCCCCTCCGGTGTGTCCGGTCCCAACCGTCAAGATTGGCTACGAATTTAGTTGCTCCACCGGTCCCAACCGTCGCTCACCAAACTTGCATACTATGCATACGTACTCCTCGTATGTCATGTGTGTGTATATATATGCAAACAAACCGCGACTGCTACTTGCACACAGAGTGAGCGATCGAGGCGCTCCAAAGGAAGCGATCAACGGCGACTGCAAGGTAAAGATGGATCGATCGCTTCCTACAAAAAGTCGAAAGCGATCGGCGGTACGGTGGCAGTCGCCTACCGGCTTCGATCGGATTGATTCTTGGATGGACGCGAAGTAGCTAACGCTAACCACCCCACTCGAGAGACCGCCATGAGAGCGATCGATGGAGAGAGATGGAGGAGGAGGAAGACGAAGATGGTTCTTGATTGGTGGGTGGAGGAGGAGACCACTCCAACGAGAGAGTATGTTGTATGTACGTGTACCTTCCCCCGGGCTAGGCTGACCGTGTTAGCCGCGGCATGCATTAAAAAAAGATGGCGTCATACTTATCAGCCATGATATAATATTTTTCTCTTATAATAAAATAGCATCAGCTGACTTATAAGCCACAGAAACGATAAAGTGTTGATCAACCCGCGATCCTCAACGCCACTGATGAGATGAGAATGAGAGAGAGGGGCCATATGCCGATGTTGATCTTTTTAAATCCGTGCTAAGGTTTTTTTGTAGTAGCATGTGATGTGGTTGTCTGGGCCATCAGCTAGGTAGGAGTTGTAGGGCGTAGAAGGAATGGAATGGAGGATGGAGCCAATGGACGGACAATGGAGGGTGACCAGTAGTTGTTGCATGTGTCCCCCCCCTTCCCTACACTTGATTGCACTCCGATGGACAGGTACTTTTTCTCCTTCATACTACCCATGGGCTCCGTTGGATTTTACATTCAGGACGGGATTGCATTTGATCTCTGCACTTGATGGCTTGATCGACAGATTTCCTTCTCTTTTGTTTGGCTTGGATGGATAGCCTTAGTGTACGTAGAAGGCTTTATATCCGACTATACTACATTTCAGTAGTAGGAGCTGCCTCTAAGAATTGCACTCGCTTTCTCAAGGTTCACGTCCATGACGCTCTATCTACTCCTTAGTACAAGTAGCGGTCACCTTTTCTTTCCCCTAAAAAAAGAAAGAAAACTGTATAGTGATCACCTAACTAATAATGTCTCCGGAACCATCTGGTTTCACATTGTTGTTCAGGCATACTCCCTTACTAACATTTTAGCATACTAATATTCTAGCCAAAGTTTTACGGTTACCTGTCATGAAAGTGACACCAATTGTTGTTTTCTCCCTTTTGACAAAGCTAATCATCTATCATTAGGTGTGCAACTTTTGAGAAGGAGAAGGGAGTGAATGAGTAATCCTCGAGCTCGAGATGATTAGGCACTGCATTGGTTGGATCAAGGGCAGTGATTACCTGACGAAACCAGGGCCTAACCCTAAACGATCGCCAGATGTAAAGTAAAGCGCGAATCTGATTGATGCAGCGAGCGACGGCATGATTAGCTCGCTCGTCCGCAGATCCATCTCCCTAGCTCCTTTCGCCGTCCCGCCCGGTGGTTCGGCTGCTGTGCTGCGTCGTCCGCGGACCAGACTAGTGGTAACATGTGACCCCCCCTCTCTGGAATCATTTCATGGTCGCCCATTTGCAGGGAATAACTCTGTTCTGCTGCCTGCAATGATGCCTATTCTTCTCTCTTGCTGCTACAATGCATTGCTGGTTGCTGCGCTCTGGCGAGGTGATGATGGTGGTGATCTCTTGCACAGGACCCTGATCCTGGCCGCGTGAAATTTCGAGCCAGGCCCAAAAGTTAAGGGGCTTTTCAGAGCCCGAACGGGAGTCTGGCCGGCAAACAACCAGTCCACTCCACTGCTCCTGCTCTTCACCTCTTGAGCTGAGCTGCTGGCTCGCCGGACGGGGCCGTCATAGTTTCCGTGCCAAATTAAGTACCGGCTGAATCACCATTTTGCCAAGGCGGATAGCCGGTGGAGAGGCTTTGCAGTGGCAGTTCTCTCCATTTAGGAGTACTACAGCTACAGTACTCCTATGTGAGGACGGAGGGAGGGAGGGAAGCGGCGATGATGGCTCCGCCTGCCACTGCCAGGGCGCTGCAGCTTCATTCCGATTGTAGCCCGCCCACACAGAGTTGAATGTTAAACCGGACTTTACTCCATCCAGTACGTACTTCAGTTGTGTCGCAGATCACATTTATTTACGCCCCTGTTTAAAGCACATGGTACTTGCAACGCCTGTAACGGCACAGGCTGTAGATAGCCGACGTGTGCTTTGGCCAGTTCGCCGGGCAGCGCACATCCATGCCAACTGTTCACGCCATCCGGCGCGTCCGTCCAGTTGCCATTCACGCCGGTCTTGAAGATGAAGAGCCGCCGCGTACGGCTTCCTCCGCGTAAGCCAGTGGCCTCAACATGCCGCACGGCGGACGCACCTGCCCAGGTCCGTGTGAGCAGAGCAAGCGCGCGCGGCGCGGTACCAGCGTACGACGTGCCAACCCCGAGAGGGGACAAGCTGGGTGGGGGAGAACACAGAAGGGAATAGTCGCCGTCGCCGGCCGCCCGGTCTGGCGCTGCGTACGATCGGTTCAGCGACACGGGCTGCCTGCTACCAAACGCCGAGCAGCAGTGCATGGAGCAACACGGCAACCATCGGTCGCCGCCTCACCGGCGGCTGCATGCGCGCCTGCTCCTTGCCGAACGCCTCCCTCCCGGCCTTCCCTGCCTGCCTGACGCGGCAGGCATGGCAAGCGAAGCACACCGCACATGTCGCGGTGTCGCCGCATGCAAGCACACGCAGCAGGCAGCCCCTTCCCAGCAGCGGGAACAGAGCATTGAACATGAGCCATGGCCAGGCGCCAGGGGGAGGCCAGGAGAATGCGACCACCGTACTACGGACCAGCCGGCGCGCACAGAAAATGATGCAACGTGCCCAGTAGCTAGCACATGCAACTCTACAGTCATGCAAGAAGCTGAAGCCTACCACGCCGCACGGGCCCTGGTCAAGCCGGGCATGATGGCCCTGTCGCCGCAGAGCTGCTGAGCTGCACGATGGGCGACAGGCGGTGCCAATCCTAGGCCTGTAGTAGATGCAGCGCGAATGCTCGTCGATGCCGAATCGGCAGTGTGCCAGTGCCCAGTGCGTGGCATGTCGACTGGGGTATCGGTGCTGCGTGCTCGCCCGGCAGAAGCAGAACCGGTGGTCAGGTTCGCCCGCTTGGCCCGGTCTAAGCCGCGCGCTCGTCACGTCCGCTACCCGTGTCTGATGGACATGGACGCGCCACCCATCACCAATCGATTAGATGCGGGGCCGTGACGGTACCGTGAGAGGTTACATATACACGACACATGAGAGCGTGTCAGGCCATGCCCGGTGCGTGACCGTTGGAGGAAGCTGGAAACCCTAGTGCATCTGCATGCCGTCCTCAGCTCCGCCCAGCCTGTCTTTGCCTCGTAGACCGGGAGCCATGATATGAGCGCGACGTCACCCATGATTATTCATTCACGGCAGTGCCGGTCCGAACTGGAGACAGCTGACAATCCATGAACCCCAGCTGTCTTTCTGCCATAGTAGATGATTGAATCTCACTCCAAGCTGCTGCACTTGCTTGTCGCGTGGAGCTCGTGACTCAAAGGTCAAGAGAGATTGAGCCAACAACATTCCATGTCGAGGCGACGCTGGAGAGATGAACGTTGAAGAGAGGATTGTCTTCCATGTCCGCCATGAGAGCAAGCAGCAGAGGCAGGGAATGGAGAGGGCAGCGGTTGGCAGAGGTGGAAGACGAGGAACGGCACGGAAAAGATTAAGGGCCTGATTGGTTTGGGTCCAAAATTTGCCCTGCCTAAACTAGGGCAAGTCAAAATCAGGACGTGCCAAATTTTGGTTGCCAAAACCTTAGCAAGAATTTTGGTATAGCACTTGGGTGGGTGCCAAACTGGTACATCCAAAATTTTGGATCTTGATTGGTTTGATGCCAAAACAGGAAGCACTCTTTTCTCTTTTATGCAGCTTAAGAATTTTCTAGAGGCTTGCTAAAACTTTAATCATAAACATTGGTGTGCCAATTCTTTGGCAACGAACCAATTGATGACTAAAATTTTTGGCATGACATGGTTTTGGTTGGGCAAGAATTGGTAGCCAACCAATTAGGCTCTAACCTGCGCTTACTGATACCATGAAGAGAGATTGAGCCAACAACATTCCATGTTGATCTCTGTCAAGTATAAGGCCCTGTTCGTTTCGCTGAAAATTGGCTGATGATACTGCTGCTGCTGCAGATTTCTTATGAGAGAAAAACACTGTTTCTTCGTTGGCTGAAGTAGTGACGAAGAACATAGCCATATATAGTGTTATAGGAGGCGTTCACGGAGCGCACGACAGACAGGTGTGGGCGACATCATAGCC